GTCAGCTTTACTAAGTTTAGAATTTCTGCCCATTCATTACCAATTGAAAGGCTGCGTTATAAAGGAATACCTCCAGGGGAAAGACTTTGTACATTTTATGACAAGCAGGCTATTGGTGATGAAGTTCATGTTATGTTCACTTGTAACAACAGTGAAATTTCAAAAGCTCGCGCTGTTTTTAATAAAGAAATTCTCTGTTATGACTCCGCTAATAGCGAGCTCTCAAGCCAAGGCATTGAGCAATTGCTTGGAACAAAAGATAGCTTGCCAAGTTTATTCATTCCATTTTAAATTATTTCTAAAACTTTTTTCTTTGTTGTTGTTGTTGTTGTTGTTTTTGTTGTGTTTTTTATTGTGTTGTTGATAGATTAGTTTCTTGACTATGGACAATGTATTGTAGATACAAAGTTTTGTGTCAAATAAATTATCTATCTAGTATCTATCTATCAATCTATCTATCTATATTTTGTTGACATGTTGTTCTCTCATAGACACGAAAACATTGTGTATTTGTCACTTGCCTCAACAGCGTGGATGTGCTCACAACTCGGAAAATATTACGTTGGTTTCAACTGTGTTCAGGCAACCAAAACATTATCGCATTATATTTGTCACGTAGATCTATGACGTCATAGGTTTTCATAACAGGGGACCTATGTTATGTACAACGAATGTATGTTGTTACAATCAAGCATGTGTTCTAATAACGACATTCCTTGAATAATTAAATATCGGAAGATCAATTCCTAACTCGAGTGTGCACGCATATGAAAATTTGTGCTTACAACTCTGCCAAGGGAATTTGGATTATAACACGATCTAAATTCAACTTTAAGCCTATAAACGTTCCATGTTTTTAGTGCCAAACCCCTTTGTTAAGCACAAATATTTCATTGGTGTTGGTAAGCTGTTGTGTGATTGGTCAATGCATGAACAGCTCTTCCAATTATGGGTTACGTCCAGACGCCACTCTCTTTACTGGTGTACACAAGACGATGAACAATTTATGTTTTTAAGACCATTTTACCTATTAACAATTCACCCCTAGACGTGATAATTTCATTTCAATAATAACAATTCATTGTCAAAAATCTGAATAATCACAACCTCATCGGAATCAATTTGTTAGTCTTACCCACAAGCCACACCCAGACTATTCATCAAATCGAGTGGTCTGGAGTATACTAGTACTCTGAAGCATGCCGAGGACTTCCTATTTGTAATGCTATATGAGAAATCAGACTAGCTATCACGTGAAACGAAATGAAAATCATTCTAAAATAACGTACTTATACCCAATTGATTCTTGATTCATTGACCAGGAAGAAAGAAATGATGACATTTGCAATAATAATAGTCGAGCAGGTCCGGGTTGTAAAGTTCAGTTGACGAAATAGACGATACAATTGATTGGACCTACATGAATGCTAATCAATTTCACATAACCAATTGTTGTTTTTTGCTTTTTCCGATTTTTAATATGTCGTACATTATCTTCGGTAATAACTCCGAAAGTGAAGTCTGGTATCTTCAACAGAACGCAGCCATTAAAACTTGCAAAACGAGCGTATTTCGATCGATCATCGCTTAAGCAGCATACATTTTTTGGCTCATTTAAAAAATATGAAAGGTGTCAATATTCATTTTTTCTGTCTTTGGCGTGCTTCAGATTGATAGATCTTGGTCGATCGTGTTTATTACAAAGGACCTGAATGTACAGCACTAATTTCACCCAACCTCCTGCTCGCTTCTGCTTTTCGATCATTTTCTTTTTTCACTCGCTTTTTCAACCGCTTGTTGAATAATTTCTACTTTATTTTTCGACCACACGAGCCCAGAAATTTAGCCCATCAGCTCGCTCGAATTTTAAATACATGGCCATGGCATCTTTGTTTTTTGGGGGACACATCAATATTTTCCTGGTTTCCGTGCTCTCTGACCTAAGGAGTTAGCATTGCCTGTATCACGTAAATGTCTCGATATTCATATGAGGGCGCTATCAACAGCATGTAGTCTCTGTGTTTTCCTCTGCAATAAGATCTAATTTTAAGGAAAACCAGGGAATAGGGAATAGGGAATAATTAGAATTAGTCTTAATCTTTCTTTCCTTTTAGTTTTTTGGAGATATTTTAGTTTTTAGTTTTAGGATTTGTTTTTGTTTATCATGCTTTACTACTTTGTTTACATATCACACTCACAATTACAATAACATTTAATACAAATAGTGTTACAATAAAATATGTAACTAACTTAAAAGAAGTATGGATTAGAGCATTAAATACAGTATATCCACGAAGTGAATAATGCTATGACAGAAAAGAAGATGAGAATAGTGTACAGTTACGTATAGTAGATGAGGGAATAAAAGTCACAATTAAAGTTTATTTTAATGGGACCGTACTAATACAAGGGAATAATTACCACTCCTGGATTGTGAATGAAGGATACACCTTCTTTAAACAACTTCAGGAACTAATTAGATTTTAAATTACAGTTGCAACACAATCTACATTGCTTGATAATGAAAAACCTCCCCCAAGTAGATCTCTAAGAGTCCGCAAAGCAAACGCCAAATACAGTTCAAAAAATGATGCTTTGAAAATTACCAAAGGTCTGGAAGAAAGGGAATCTACAGTGAAGAAGAAATATATACAACCAAAGTCTTTGCTGAGCTGCAGTTTAGATGATAGACAGGAGAGGACTCTAGAAAGAAGAGAAAAACATCTTGTCAAAGATGAAACACCTTCTAAAATACATATATGCTCAACTCAACAAGGCAACCAAGCAAACCTGTGTTAAACATGACTGATATACTGAGTGCATTTGAAAGCTATCAATGTCAGAGTTCATCACTACTGCAACAAATAGACAGTACAATATCAGAAGGTTTGAATGAAATTATATCTAAGTTATCAACAAAACCAACAAGTGAAGGAAAGCAAATATCAGCAGCATGCACATTAATGGAAAAAGACCTACAAAGAAAATCAACTGAAATTGAAAAGCTGAAAATGGTGATGATAAAATAGAAAGCTTACAAGCAAAACGGAATCAGCTCACAACTAACAACAATGAACTCATAATTAATACCTACAAACTAGAACAAAAACTGAAACAAATGAATAAAAGTAATGACAGCGGAGATATTTCCACAATCAGGGATGAACTGAAGTTAATAAACACAAAATAATGATAATGAAACTAAGTCAAACCACATCTTGGAAGCAATAAAGAAGGTTAGTGTCCATAGAGTAAAGCAGTATGGAATAGATGTGATAAAGGCTGAACAAAAGAATTATACATCCAAACAGATGCATAAAACAACATCATCCCATCAACAAGAGGGAACAACTCTGCCAAATAACTATCAACAACATCAAAGAGCACCATACAAACATTTCAGATCACGCAATATACCTTCACAAGTTGAACATCTTGGAGTGAGTGATTCGCAATCAACACATATCCAGAGAAAAGACCTGGCTAAAAACCAGTTCTTCTTGACATTTAGGGCAGCAACAATTGATAGTATCCAACATGCGGTTGAGAATAACGAGCTTCCTGATTGCTTAAGAACCTTGACATTAAATGTAGGAGGAAATGACATTGACAATGGTCTCTCGAGTGATAAGATCAAATGCAAACTTGAAAAATTTATGAAAGCACTGACCGAGAAAAAAGGAAATGTGAAATTCTTCATTTGTGGCATATTCCCAAAAAAGCATTGGAATGGTGAAAAACAGTGATGAATGAAACCTACACATACCTCAAGTCAGCTAGGATTAATATAGAATACATACCAATGAATAATATCCACCATCACATGTTAAAGTATGATGGAGTACATCTTAACAAATACCAAGGAACACCAACCTTTATATATAATAATAAGTCAGCTATTGACAAGAAAACTCCACTACAGGCATACAGTCCACTCAAAATAGGTACACCAAGAAGAAATGAACAACCAATGAGGTTATACAGTGAAGTAGTTAACAGTCACACTCTGACATACCCTACACACTACAATGATGCAATCCTGGAGCGTCTTTTAAAGATAGAAAGACAATTACATTTCCCCAACAGTGATTGCAGTTATGAACCAAAGTTTAAAACAACCATCAATAATGAAGGAAATCATCAAGTCTATCACAAAATCACAAAATTTGGAAAACTTGGCAAGATATTAATGCAAGGTGACTTTAATGCCAGGACAAGTGACATCGATGACATACATACAGACAGTGATACATACATCTTGCTGACACAAGACCACTGTTGGGAAAACAATGAAAAAATAAGAAGACATAATCAAGATAATAAGAAAAATCATTTTGGAGAAAAACTTGTACAGATATGTCAGTCAAACCAACTGTTGATATTAAATGGAAGAGCATGTGGTGACAAAATTGGCCAAATAACCTGTCATGAGATATCTGGATCAAGCACAGTGGACTACTCAATATCGTCAATTAACATGTATCATAACATTATTCATTTTTATGTGAATACATTTAAATCATCCAGCGATCACTGTTCAATTACAACATTGATCAACTTGCCTGGATTAAAACAAAATCACAACACCAACTTAGACTTAACCAAGGCTCCTGGAAGATATATATGGAATAATGCAAACAAATAAATTTACAACATTTATTTACAAACAGAGGTAGGAAGTTCGGTTATTAACAAATTCATAACAAATAATCATGACAATACCTCATTAAATAATATAGCAGATGACTTTCATAAAATGTTGCAGTCAATAGCAGACAGGTGCATCATAAAAAAGACAAGTACAAAGAGCCATAATAAAAAGAAAAACATAAGGTGACAAACACTCAGTGTGACAACATGAAAAAAGAACTGAACGCCTTGGCAAGATCTCTTCAAAAGAACCCATATGACAAACAGCTGAGACATATATATATCACTGCAAAAAGAAAACATTCAAGAAATTTGTAAAGAAACTATACACAGAGGATAAGAAAGAACATATGAAAAAAATAGAAGATCTCACTTGTAGTACAAACCCACAAGAATTCTGGAAGACAATCAACAAACTGACTCACCAAAATGAAAAATCTCGTGTGCAACAGAACTCTCACCAGACTTGGATTGAACACTTTCAAGAACCCAGTAAAAACAAAGTTACAACAAAGGAACAACAGGTAGCATTACAAGAAAAACTAAAACTCCTAGAACAGAATAAATCAGTAGATACAAACCTAAACAAAGAAATCAAACTGAAGGAAATATTATATGCAACAAAGAAATTAAAAAACAAAAAATCATGTGGGCCTGATAGCATTCCCGGAGAAATGCTGAAGTACAACAGTACTAGTATGAAAGATGCACTAAAAAAGCTGTTCAATCATGTGCTACAAACTGGTGAATATCCAAATAACTGGAATGTCAGTCTATTGTCTCCACTGCATAAACAAAGTGATAAGCATGACTGACACCAATAACTATAGGGGAATATCATTATGTATCAGCATAGGAAAACTATTTAATTCCATCATCAACAATAGACGAATTAAGTTTCTTGATGAAAACAACATCCTTCATCCAAACCAAGGTGGTTTCAGAAAAAACTCACCAAATATTAACCCTGCACACGATAATAAAAAAATATCAAGCACAGAAAAAGAAACTTTACTGCAGTTTTATTGACCTCAGTAATGCTTCGATAATGTGTGGAACACTGGTCTAATGTATAAAATGCAAACCAACAATATCATAAAACATATGTATCCGAAAAAGAAATGTGCAGTCAAACTTGAAGATACGACACGGTGTAACACAAGGCTGTCCACTGAGTCCTACGCTATTTAATATCTACATTAGATGAATTAGTCTCCCACCATTATTATATAACACACCAATTCCATGTCTGTTATATGCAGATGCTATCATCCTTATGTCACAAAGTAAAAATGGACTGCAAAATTCTATGAATTGTCCACATAGGTATGCAAACAAATGGGGACTACAAGTAAACATAAAGAAAACAAAATAAATTATATTTAATAGAAATGGTTACAATACAGAGAAGCTAAATATAATGTATGGAAATCATATAATTGAGAAAACAACAAACTTCACCTATATGGGTGTTAACTTTAATAGTAATGGTCTATGGACTTAACAATGTCAACACTAGCAAAACAAGCAAGGAGAGCAGAAAGGGCACAAGCACCTATCTATAATAACAATAGAAACAATATTACTATTAAAACACAATTGTTTGAGACCACACAAATACCAATATTAACATATGGGAGAGAAATATGGGGAGTATGTACGAACAAAAACTGGGACAAGACAGAAACTGAAAAAGTCATCTCAGATTTTGTAGGCACATTCTAAATGTGAATAACAGATCAAGCAACATTGCAGTAAGAATGGATACTGGTAAATTACCATTGTTACACTATAGGGCAATAACTATGTACAAACATTCAATAACATTGAAGAAAGACAACATATTTACAAAAGTTAACGGATAGACAAGCGGTTCAAACAATGAGCAAATTTAGAATTAGCTGCCATCAACTGTATAGAAGTGGGTAACAACAATTCAGGACTGGAAATGTGAAAAATGTAACGTGATTGAGGATGAAATCCATTTCATCACTGAGAGTGATCTCCATACAGAAAATAGACAACACTTATATACTCTATTCTCCAATCCAAATTTCAAAAATTGCAACAACAAAGATAAATTGATACACATTTTAAACACAACTAACAAACAATGTCTACTCGGGTTATTAAATTACATACAGAAAGCCCACAAAATAAGAAAAGAAAAGGTGAAAATTAATGAATGTGTTGTTGTGCTATATTTTCAGTGTGATTTAGTTGTTTTTTATTTGAAATCTATTATTGTATTGTATGTGTAGTTTAATTGTAGTTTATTTTGAAAAGCTTTAATACAGCAATTACCAAAACTGAAATGTCAGATTTCATTAAGAATGTAATAAAGCATTATTCTATTCTATTCTAATCATATTGTTAAAACAAAGTAGCAGCCCTGGAGTTAATGGAACACAATCCCGCTCTATCAGCCTGTTGTGGAACATCCACGTAACAATTCAATTTGCATTCGCGAATGATACAAAGTGTGATGGATTAGTTAATACTCGTTGAATCCTCAAACTTTAGCATTAAAACAACGATTCCGACTACTCATGTGCCAATGATCAGTGATTGGACAAGCGGTCAGTGTTTTAAGCGAGTGAGAAATGAAAGGGAAAGAAATATGGTCGTTTTGCGGTCGGAAATTAAGCGATATGCGGTTGATTGAAATGCGATAAAAGCGGGAGATTGGGCGAAATGAGTTCTGTTGCCCGTTTATAGCTTATGGCTGTTACGGCCGTTACAGGTCGGTAAAATAGGGAAACTCGCATAGAATGGAATTGTAGCTCCATGGTTTTGCGTTAACACCACAACGAACGAATAATCGACAGCGAAACCAAGCGAGCTACGAACTGCAGCTAGACCATCGCCAAAAATGGGTGGACAAGATGGCCGACTTCCGCCCGTGGCCGGTGCTCCACTGTCAAATGAACATCACAGGATGTGCCATAAAGAATGCATTGCATAAACATATATTAAACAAAATTTAATTTTGAATTTATATTTTTATTTTTTTTTCACTTTCGTGTGCTTCGTAATAGACAGGTGACATTCCAAGCTTTCGATATGTTATAGATGTTCCCATTAAAGGATGTGTATTTGTGTGCCAGATTGAAAAATAGGAAAATGACGTAACGTAGTATATGTGACTCTTCAAGTTTGTTCGATGCGTCATCAAGTGAGGACATGGTAGGAGTTAGTAGTACTAGTATACGCGGGAAGGGAGTCCAGAGAGGGAACAGTCAGCATCCCTTTTACGGAGAAAACGTGAAATCTCGTTCTGACATGTAATATTAGGTTTTGAAGGTTTCTGAGTTCAAAAATTATGACTAAATGAACCAAAAAGCATGCGTTTAGAGAGAAACCTATGCAGAAGTTGGTTTGCCAGTACTTAATCCATTTTTAACACCTAGGCTACTCTATTGACATTGGTTGTTTATTTTATGGATTTGGCACTTGAGGTGGCTGATAAGCCGTGTCGGAAACGTGCACAAAACGACCAGTCTGTGCACGTTTTCGACACGGATTAAAAACCAGTTGTAAGCAGATATTTGTATGTGTGTTCTACAAACAATAACACGAATTATGTACCTAATTATATTCTAGTGACGAAATTATTGATTCCAAAATGACGTAACTTGTATGCAGTTTAGTATATAACCATGTTAAAACATTATATGGTATTGACGTTTTATTATTTGTCACAGTACTTCACTAGATTACAGTGTTTGATGTAGTGCGGCTCGGTGTCCACGATATTTCTTTGTTCGATATTGAATTGGTCAATACAAATTGTTTTAGTCGCTACAAATACATTATGGCTGTATACGATTCTACTTACTTAGTTAAGAACAATACATTTTTACGGGAAATTTCCCAATCTGATCAAATTGTGCTCCATGGAAGATTTATTCATTTGAAGCTGGATTTCTACAGAAATTATTTAAAAAACAAAAAAGCTAAAGCCTTTAATTTCACATTCAAATATATTAGTGATGTACTTTCGATCATAAATCTTAACCTTAAAGATTATATTGCACTGATATATCCAGTTCAACTTCATGTAGTTTAACTCAAGGAGACGACAGAATCTGCTTCTGCTGATTTATACTTAGATACATACTATGATTCTATGTCCCAGTTTACCACCATTATATGACATGAGAGATGAGAGATGGTTTTATTTTTACTATCATCATTATTCCACACCTTCACAGCAATATCTTACGAGGAATACATCTCCCAAATCATAGTACATTTGTGCAGACGTTTCAAAAATACATTTTCTTCTTTCTTCTAAACTATTAAATATTAGGTATTTGTAGAACACGACTAGCCTTAACACTTGAAAGATGAGCTTTTTTGTGATTAAATGCAGTAACACTATTTCACAAATAATCTCAGATGGCAAGAGTGTCACAATTCAGACTTCAAATCTATAACATAAACCATTGACATTAATAAAATGTTGCACTTTACCGTTTTGACCATTTTATGTAACTCTTTTTGTGTTGATAAACAATGGGCTGATGATTAGATCAGAGAAAATGTGCGAGTCGTATCCCCAATACGTTATAGCGTGATCAACGGTGCTCCCACTCATTCTCGCTAGTTTTGATTTAAATACGTCCTATAACAAAACAACGCGTGCGCGTATTAGACGACGTGTGATATTTTGGAAAACGGTGTGATTCCTGTTGCTCTCCCTTCCAAATAAGCTTCCATAAAGAAACAATTGACCTTACGGTAATTAATTATTCAACGGATGTCATATTTGGTCACAGGTTTGATTGTATCAAAATTATATCGTTGCACACCACACTATTCACCGATTATAGAACATGTGGCGTCATGGGTCCACGTGACACTATATACCTGTGATAATGTGATTGTTTTCTGAACGCTGCTGAAACATGTGCAATATTATCTGAGCTGTGATTATATTCACATTGCTGTGGTAAGTGATAAATATATTGTAACTGGTTGCACTGAAACTGTAATGATTTCTTGCGAAATATTTGTGTCTACGTGGGAAAATATAACAAGTATTATCTGTATTCTGGTAATTGTTTACTGTGTACAAACGTGCCATGAGCATGTTTACCCTGTGAAGGTTACACGCCATGAAACCTTCCCTGTTATAATATAACATTGCACATTAAATACTAAACAAATATTAAGTACGAAGACGTGGTTGCCACGAGAGACACATCCTAAACTATCTATATAATTTACAATTAATTTAAAATGAAAAAATGGAAGATTATCATAATAAATTTGTTTCAATTCAATTTCAAATTGTTATTGTTCAAAAACATAATACTTTTTTATTTGAAATGACTGAAAACTCATTTGATGTCCATGCACATATTTGTACTGGGTGATTTGCATGTTGACTTTTATATTGTGTTATGACAGTTATGTTTTATTCGAATGAAAATATATATTTAGTGTATTTGAAGTAACCTGGAGAATTGGTGACGAGTGTTGTGGTGGATCTGTGACTACAGCAGCCTAATCATTTTAAAATGTCCTCCAAGCTGTGCCTGTGCGCGTTGCTGCTGGTACCCCTGATATGCCAAGCAAATCAAGGTGTAAGTAACGTCAATACAAGTTTTCGAATCAGAAATTGAAAACAAACATTGATGGTGTTGTCTTTTCATTGCTGCTATTTTGTTATTATTTTGTATTAGATGCCCTATTCACGTGATGTGGGGACTCAGCATTGCTGGGTATGTGGTGGATATTGTGCCAAGGAATGCAAACATTTCACACCCTCAACTGAGTGCACATGTTCGGATACGGATATGACTTGTTGCAGTATGTAACAATATATTGTTTCTTTTGTACACTCACTAATAGTAAAGTCAAAATAACGTACGTTTGGTCGTGGCGTTAAGTCGGGTGAAAACAAATCACTGACAGTTTAACAACAATGCATCTACGTTATATTTCATATTTTTAGTGCCGAAAATAGGATTTTTCCGAATGGGGTGATACAAATATGGCTATCGTATTCACCAAAGATAGCCGAGTTAAATCTTGGTTGTATCCCAAAGAATTTCTCGCAAAAAATATATTTATGTTGTATTCTTATTTCATTGTGCAATAAGGTGGTGAAGGTTTTGGCGGGAACTTGTGTAAAGAAGAATGTGGTGGAAAATGTCAGATTGCAGGATGTAGGGAAAACGAAGTGAAATCGTCCGAAATTGAATGCAATGTCGACTGTAGAAAACTACCTATCGCAGATGTCGATGTCATGTGTTGCGTGCCGAGTGAGTGAATGATTAACCATTTCATATTGAGGATATTTCCCTTTAAAATATTAATGCATATTTACTTATTTATTTTGTTTATTTCTCTTAATAAATTAGACATTTTAGGATATTATAATGTGTTACCTATTTGTAAATTAGTACCTGTCACGATTTAGCCGTATCTCGTATTTAATGGTTTTACCCGATCTATGTATCATATATATGTCAACTATAATGATAATGTTAAATCACAATTTGGGTCTTTCTGACTGTAACCATATTTTCGTGCTTCAAATACTCCCTCATTCCCTAAATCAAGCAATCATGTTAAGATCCATGAGGGCCATTTTAAAAAGTTTGAGGAGTCTTTCTTATTGGCTTACTTTATAAATACACATCTATCTTCAGTTTACAAAATATGTAAATAATGCTAATTCGGTATTTGAGACATGACATTCTGTAACAATATTTGTGATTCGCGTGACCCTATAGACGTATGAAGAAATGAAAGCAGCCAGGTTGGCTAAAAACACGTTCATGGTCAATAATATCACAACTTGAAATTTTCATGATTTAATTTCGAAGTCTAATTCAGATTTTCGAAAATCTTATTGCCTGTTATTAAACAGGTTTTCAATTTATTGTGTTTCCCTGGTTTCTTTAAAATGGTTGAGTTCTTATTCATCTGATAGAGGTAAAGGTGTGTCACTGTCAGGTGCTGTTAATATACAGTTTAATATACTACATAGTGCAATTGTGCGACCTTTATTGTTTCTTCTATTCATAAACGACATTCCAATATTTCTCATTATTATACATTTGTTTGGACTCCACACAAAGAAGTTTTCTGATTCTGTTATAAACTTTTTTGGATTTCGGCATTCCCATGATGTATCCTTGGAAGGATGTATAATAATAATGTTATTGCGAGGATAACTCAAAGTATGCACTTAGACAGAGTGCCATTAATTTATCTAAGAGCGATCTTTTTTATGAATTTTCATAATCTGTTTTCGTATAATCGTTTGACCAGATGGGTGCACACGCGTTTCTGTTTCCATACTATAAAAAAGAATAACGCATTATTAGAATATGAACTTTATTACTATTGTAATATTAGCAGTACCTGTTTTATTGGACATATGCATACAAAATTATGACTGTAAGTTGTTGTGCGTTTATTAAATAGATATGATAGAATTTTTTTAGAAAGCATTGCTAATTGTCTGACATTCAATATCATGAATATTATTGTGAACAAAATTCAGCTTTTTTGTAATTTACACGCTATGCTTTGTTATTCAATGTGTATGATATTGCATAGATTATTCCTATCATCACCAAGTAACATTTGCTTTCATCTCTCTTCTCAGAATCTGACTATGAAGAAGTGTAACGAAAGTGTTGCAATTTACTGAAACTATATGTACAAGCTGACTTCCATTTAGTTAATTTGAATTTTCCGACTACTTATTGAATAAAGAGCCTGATAACTAGCTAATAATGTCTTTGTATGTGTCTTTCTTTACCCATTCATACATTGTCGTAACACTAAACATAACATGTATCTGGCACATCAAGATGGGTAATTCAAACGTTTTTGATGAAGGACATGTGCGTGATCAAGTCTCGCGAATGCTCTTGAAGAGTAAGTACTAAGCATGTATATAGAATTAGATGTAAAGGCTGTGATTCTTGATTGATGTGCTATCCTCTGGGTTTTACAGTAGCCAGCAACATTTACAGTACTTAAATTACCTTGATCAAATGGTGCTATACCTGCAAGTTCCTATGACTAGGAGGTATTAAAATGTATTTGAAATAGAAATGACAACAATTATTATATATGTATGTGTGCATGGAATTTGTTCATGTGGCAAATGTCAAACGCATTATTGAGCAATTACCTAAATAACATCTCAATATAAGTTTGTTCAAAACTGTCGCATTATTCCAATACAGAAGTTTCATTATTGTTATCCCTATACATGGTTCTGGCAGTATAACGGTAGCAAACGCTTATTCCATCATTTGGTTTCTCATTTTACTAGGACCACACCTTCAACAGCCCCAACCGCGATATGATATCATACAGTTCGATAGATAGATAATTGAGCCGTTTGCTATTACATGCCTGTTCAGTAAATTGATAACTACACAATTAGGACATGTTTGTGACTGTAGAACTTGGCAACATGGTATTTAGTCATTTAAACATTGTGACGTATATGGCTCTGTATGTATGCATACTTGTTGACATGGAGCCATCTAGATAAAGTAAAAAGGTACATTTATGCATTGAACCACGATTCATTCATTTCTGTGAAGTGTGTCACGCTACAATGTAATTGTATATCTAATTACAAATCAGAAATCGCGCCTTCATCCACAATACCAAAAACTTTGTTGTCGTAATGCTTGAAACTGAAAGTCTTCGATCTCCGAACACGAGGGGTCACCATGAGCTATGGTACCTGGTGTTTGTTATGATATTAAACCGATCATGATGATAACATAACAATGAAATATAAAAAATAAGTCATGTCAAATGGAAAATCGATTCGGTGTAAGATAATGAATTTCGTATAAACATGGAAGGTACTAACATGGTATAAATAAACAATGTTTTTCATAAGCACTGTAGACGTCGCTATTGGACATTTAATGTTGTGTGCATTTAGTTCAGTTTACGACTGTATTAGTATATATCACCCACCAATATGTTTATGGCGTGATCCACTGTAAGTGCTACAACCTAATAATTCTCAGCTTGCATGCGTGGCAGTGTGTACGATGACCTGCGCATTAAACGCTTAAGATACTGCCTTATTTTGTATTACAATCAAATATTATAGTTTTCTGTTTCCCTCGCCTTTTACCCTTTAGCATCACCCAACCCTACAAACCAGATTTTGTTATCAAAGTCATGTGCAAATGCGAATTATAAATTTATGCAAAACAATTGACTTTCAATACTTAATTCTTCAGCGGGTATCGATACCGGGATATACAGGCTTGATTGAAAACAACATAAATCCGTTCTATAGTGGATGCCCTACAGTGTTCCCGCGTTGTGAAAACATATGACGTCATAGATACACGTGTGAAAACATGGTGACGTACGCTTTTCCACTGTTGAAACCTTCCTACTAACATCTGAGTTGTGACTATAATCACGCTACTGTGGTAAGTGACAAATACGTAGCCAGTGAAACTGTAATGTTTTCTTTGTGTCTATGTATTATTTTTTAGACATGAACTATATAGAAAACAATATCGACTAACATAATATTCGAGTTCTGATATATATACGCCAGCTGTTGACTATGCACGTACGTTTTTTGCATACAAATTACGCCGATAAAGACATATATTTGCATATCTCACATCAAGTGTTTTGAATCAGCATTGTTATCAATGAGCATCGGCATAGTGCTCGGCAGCGAGACATGTTCATTCGATTAAAAAGGTCATACATAGTTTTCAACCAGCTGTTTTATATTTTAATAAAATGTATTTTGCAACTGTGCATAGAATATATATGAAGACAAGGTTGTCAGGAGTTGAGCTGGCTGATTTGACGGGTTATACAATTTATATAGTTCAAAATAAAATAAAGTTTGAGATAGGTAATAAAGTAATAAACTCATTGAATTTAATTTCAAATTTAATTTGTTCAATTGCATATCATAACTATATTAATTTGACTAGACCATATGTGTAACGAATGATTGTGTATTCTAACCATTATACTGTGTTATGAATGTTATGCTCTATATTAACAAAAATGTATAATTAATAGTAACCTCAGAAAACTGGTGACGTGTGCTCTAGCTGTGAAAGCGACAACAACCCATGATTCTAAAAATGTCCGCCAAGCTAAGCCTGTGCGTATTGTTGCTGGTACCGTTGCTATGCCGAGCAAAGCAAGGAGGAGTAAGTAACATCAATCCTAGTTTTCTGATCGGGATTTGAAAAATAAAACATCGATAGTGCTATATTTTCATTATTGCTGTTTTGTTTTTTTCGGTATTAGATGCCACTTTCTCCTGGTGTGGCAACTCAGCATTGCGGGGCTTGTGGTGGATACTGTGCCGAAGAATGCAAGCATTTTACACCCTCGACCGAGTGCGCATGTCCGGAGCCAAATATGACTTGTTGCAGTATGTTAAATTTTTTACGCAATTTTGACTCACGAATTATTAACGGCAAAGTTAAAATAAACTATGTTTCGATGTTGAAAACGAAAGCGGCATATTTATTTTCAATATCTACCCACAATACTCTTTAATCTCATATTTTTAGAAAGCAAAGAGAAGCAAATTCACTGATTTTAATATGTATTGTATTTTAAAAGTATATTTTAAAAACAAAAACATATCACATAAAACAAAGCTAAGAAGAAAGAAGACCAAGTGGGATAACAATTTATGTGTCGTATTTTTTTCATTACGTAATTAGATGGTGATGGATTTGGTGGGAACTTGTGTAAAGAAGAATGCGGTGGAAAATGTCAGATTGCAGGATGTGGAAGAAACGAGGTGAAATCGTCCAAAATTGAATGCAATGTCGACTGTAGAAAACAACCTATCGCAGATGTCGATGTCATGTGTTGCGTGCCCAGTGAGTGAACGATTAACCATTTCACGACTATTTTTTCTGCTTGATGTTAGTGCATTTTTTTTTCTCGTTTTTTAATAATAATACTAATTTTGACATCGGGATTTATTTGTATTTGTTATTTGACTTAAATAGATTTACGAAACCAGATTTTTCCAAACAATTAATTTTTAGAGAAAGGTTTTTCTATATTTTCGTAATGGATACACAGAAATTGATGTTTACATATGAGTAAATATAACGCATTTTCATCGGAAGACTACCTCTCACTGAATGTGAATACAAGTTATTGTAGTATTAGCGTCAATTGTTTTATCGGGCGATTATTTATTACAATTAGAATTTTAGAAGTTGTTATGCGTTACATTATAACGAAATAATATAATAGATCGCGACTCGTTAGAAAGCATAGTCCGGCGCTGAACAGACGATAAATAAATTAAAACAAAATCCGTGACCCACGGTGCATGTTTGTTTTCCATATTCTGCTGTTGGTTAATGTGTACGATATTCCAGGGACCGGTTTATTCCTACCATCGCCAAATAACATATTTTCAATTTCTCACCTCAGCGACTGACTACGAAGATTTGTAGCTGCCAGTTACGGAAAAGTTATTTTAACTTTTCAAGATGAACGTCATATAAACATTTGATTCTATTTCTGTTGGAAAAAACACTTCAATCGATGATGCTGTTACATGATATTTGACATGCTGAGTTTAATTTGGTGCATGAAATTACAATATGGGTTCAGTGGTGATACTAGTTATGTTTCTTATATATATTCTGGATATAATGTAGTTTCATCCATCTACATGGCTCCTCTCACGCATTAAATAAAACTTCGATAGTTTGCGACGATTTGATCCAACGACTGAGCGAAATCAGAAACCAAATATGTGTTTGTATACCTTATATTGAACTACACTAGATGATACTTGTGGTGTTAAAACTTATCCCGAAATTCATTCTGTTGTGTGATATGTGGGTTACCTTCTAGTTCAAACTATTCCATCATTCGCTAGGTACAACAATTACCATACAGCACCCGAAGTTACACATTAATGTAATTTGGGTTACTCTTGATGTCAAATACTTTTACCCTAACATCCCTCACATCACTGATATGTTAGTCAAGATAAAAATCAATCTGGGTACAATCTCTATGATTTGAAAGCCGGTAAAATGTGCACAGTACACACTTCTAATATCTTAGTCAAGCGAAAAATCAATCAGTGTTAGTCAAGAGTAGAATCAATCTCGGTTCAAGTTCACTTTGACACTACCATCTCAAAAACATCGAAAGTGTAGGGTCAGCTGCTTAAAGTGTGTAGTGCTGAAATATACTCAGTAATACCATGGCTTGTCACACATAAGAGCGGGAATTCACCACATGTAATGTTGTTGCCAGTAGGCTACTCACGCTGTAACACGGTCGCTGATTGGCTACTGGCACACACAGAGATGGGTGTTGTGAGGGCGTTGACCGAGACAACTCCCCGATATCCCGTGATGTTGATGAAGTACCAGGCAGGGCCAATATAAATTTCATATTAACAAATTATTCTCTAATATCCACCATCTGTTTACGACTTAACTGCTTAAAACAACTGCGCCCTCTCAAAAACTCACTGAACCATTTATGCCAGTGCAAGGAATTGTGGCCAATGACAACCATGGCGTATTTCTCTCGTTGAAGCAAGGAATCATCAGCTGCAACGCGGCCATTTAACACCTCGTGTTGTGAGGGCATACATACTACCTACTAATTCACAGTATGCTTCAATTTAATTAAAAATAGTCGGCAATGTGCACAAAACTCCCCCATCAACAAATACTTCTCTAATTTATACCATATGCTTATACTGTCCACTCATTAACCAATACCACATTCTGCATTAGTACTTTACTGCTTAAAGCGGGAGGGTCGTCACCTGCGCACACGCAGTAATTGAGTCGCAAGCGCTGATAACAACGCACGCTAAAACGCAAAGGATCATGGGTAGACGCTTGTTTTAAACAATGACACGCTATGGCCATCTGACGCATGCGCAGGTGACGACACCGCCGCTTTAACATAGCGCAACCTTCTCAACAACTGTAATGTTCGGGTCAGCTGCTGTTCAGTTTACAGCGGGACAGTATGGGCAGTAACACCATGGCTGTTGTTTGGCTTTCTGTGGACAATCGCCAACTATGACGTTATTTCCGAATGCCTATTCCTGCTGGCAGATAAATGTTAGTGTACATTATTATGTGACGAATTTTAACATTATAATTAATAATATAGCAATTGAGAGTCAAATATCTGTGTATTGCTCGATGATGATGATCTGCTAACAAAGTAAGTACATAACCATATAATAAACGTATAACGTGAGTGCCCCAGCTCGTGGCATTTTAATTACTCTCAACATTTTTTATGATTTCATTCGAAAAGAAAATACTTGGATGTGAGGTTGTCTTTCATCCAAGATTACGAGAACAGTTCAACTTACCTTAACCTTTTAACTTAGATGTAACAAACTGAGGTATCAGCTCGGTATCAAGAACATCAAGTTGGTCACCTTGTCAGTGACCTCTACACATTGATGTGAAATAACTCGTTCACTCCTAAAGCATACGGACAGCATCACACAAACATAGAGAAATTATACAAGCCTTGTCTATATAACTCAAATATGTGAGGTGAGCTAATTTGTACAGCTCTTTCACATAATGTAAAACATATCTTTGCCAAATTTTATCAATAAGTTATAAACATCAGTATGACATGGCTTCTGTGAAGCACGAAGTAGTTTTAGTAATCATGGTATAGTAACGATGTATATACAGTGTTTACACAGTGGTAAAAGATACACATTGTAGCATTACAATTGCAAGAAAACAATCAAGCAAGGGAAGGAAAATGAAATGCCACATTTGGGAAACAATTAATATCAAAGTCAATCGATAAATAAATGTTCTGGGCTATATATATACTGTTAAAAGCATTTATGTAATTATTTCAACTATTTTGTTATTCAATGGGTTTTTAATTAACGCATTTGTAAGAGAACCGATGTGTTATATCATTATCATGTCTCACAGTCCTATAATACAATCAGAATTGCGCATTTGGTGGTCGATATATTTGCATATTGATTCATTGTTGAGGTTTGTCGGCGTTTTTTTTTTTTGGGGGGGGGGTTACCTTTAATTTGTGAACAGGTCAAACAACTGTAACATTGTCTGCTCAACAAAGTATCTTGCACCACGTAAAACGAGTAATGTTTCATGTGAATATTTGTAACCGGGAGATAATCATCGAACAACACACGACTAGTTCTGGCGGTTGACGCACCTTATACGTTGCTCGCGCTTATTTAACTGGAAATGTGTTGTCATATTGCTTGTTATTTAGGTCCGAGTGTCCCAGTGCAGTGTGCTGTTTTGTCTGTGCGCGTGCGTCAATGTGTAAACGTTGTGTTTTCTGAAATGTCAAACAGTCACCCGCAGCTAGTTGATACCTACAAAAATCTTAAATGTGACAAAAATTATTAAAAAGGGCTTTGGACATTTAATACGTATGAACCATTGGAATTGTGATAAAATTCTGCTTGTGAATGGAGAAAATTCCGGATATTGTCGTTGGAAACTTGGGCAAGGGAGATTTTGTAATGCTTTTCAAAGTACCAATAAACTTTTCCACCAGTCCATTACAAATGGGGTGATAGGGCGTAGACGTCAGTCTCTTAATGCTGAGCAACCTTGATACTTCTTGCATGCATTCTGACACAAACTGAGTCCTCATGTCACTTAGTACTTCTTCTGGAACCCCCAATCGGCTATAAAAGTCAATCACCACCTCGGCTACAGACTCTCTATCTATATTTTTAAGTGGAACCGCCTCTGGATACCGTGTAGCATAGTCCACCATAGTTAAGATGTATCGATGACCCCCATCACTGGCTGGCGTAATTGGTCCAACCAAATCTATAGCCACACGCTTGAATGGCATATCAATTAAAGGCATCTTACCTAATGGGGCCTTCACAACTGATCCCTTTGAAACAGTCTTCTGGCATTGATGTAGCCCAGGCCAATAAAAGCTAGTCACAATCCGGTCTTCTGTCTTCTTTATCCCCATGTGTCCACCAAATATTGAATCATGGGCAATCTCCATAACACGAGTCCTCAACAGTTTGGGCACAACCACTTGACGTACCGTCTTACCTCCTGGAACTGAACGATCCCAATATACACGATATAGCAAGCCTCCATATACCTGGAACTCGGTTGTATGGTGCCCTCTCACTTCTGG